CACTAATAACTTTAGTGACATTGAATGGAAGTGTATAGTCAACATTTTTTAAACATTAGAATACTAAATTAAAACATTTAAAAAGAGTGTTATCAAACTAAACAATAATAATTTCTAACTTTTTTTACCTAAATAAATTTATTTTCTTTTTACCTGTTTTGTTAATTATTATTCAATTTAATCACCTATTTTCTATTAATAAATATTTTCAATATATTAAATATATTATATTGAAAAATTATTATTTATCAATTGTTATACGTGGTCCAAAAGGCAATTTCACAACTTTATATTAGATTTTTATCAAAAATAACTTTTTATTTCTCCATATATCGTTTTCATGAAAATTATACCACATGCACGACCGTCCAACCATGTGATATGCCCTATTCAGATATAGGACCAGTTTCAAACGTTATTCTTATTCACAAATATTAATTCTGGTGACAATAACCATAATATATAATGGAAGAAAGTGAATTACAATTAGGCATCACTTTTAATAATAAGTATTTGTAAACATTCTCATATTCTCTCTTCAGTGTAAATATCAACGAGAGGACAAATGTTTTTTAAACACTCAAATAAATGAAAATTCCTATTAATATATCTATTTTTTTTCATTTTATTTTAAGACACCATGAATTTTGTCAATCACCTCTTACTCGTATTATCTTTTTCGTAACTGTAATTCCATTGACGAGTGCAATAAATTGTGTAACGAGGAGTCGGTAAACATTACAAGAAAATATTGAAATATCTACGAAAAATAAGTATTGTTAATTTAAGATGTAATATTGCTTTTCTGACACTAAATTTAAATAATTGTGTCAGCTTTTTTGACACTAAACTTAATTTATGTTAGTGTTAGAAAAGCTAACGCTGTATTTAAAAAATAGTATCGACTTTTTTAACACTAATTTAAATTAAGTTGTGTCGAAAAAGTCAATGTTATTTCATTAGATATAGCGTTATTTTTTTTTATACAAACTTAAATTAAGTTTAGTGTTGGAAAAGTTAACATTATTTCTTTATATATAACGTCAATTTTTCTGGCACAAACTTAAATTAAGTTTAGTGTCGGAAAAGCCAACGCTATTACTTAAATATAGCGTTAACTTTTCTGACATTAAACTTAATTTATGTTAGTATCGAAAAAGACAACGCTATATTTAAAGAAATAGTGTTGGCTTTTTTGACACTGTACATGTTTTAAGAGAGATAAAAATAATTTTGTTCAATCTTATATACACATAATGCATCGTGGTGCAGTTGGTTATTAAGTTACTTTAACACATTAAGGGTTTAGAATTGAGTCTCGACAATGCTAAGTTTAGGTGGATAAATGGTAAGCTAAAGAAATGCAAAAGAATAAATGATAAGCTGAAAACAAAAGAATAGAAAAAACTAAACTTAGTGTCGACTAAATCGACAATAAAAAATTAAAATAAGTAAAATTATTATGTTAGTATCGACTTAGTGTCAGTTAAACCGATGATAAAAAACTAAAATAAATAAAATTATTATGTTGGTATCGATTTAATGTTAGTTAAACTAACAATAAAAAACTAAAATAAATAAAATTATTATGTTAGTGCCAACTTAGTATCAGTTAAACTAACAATAAAAAATTAAAATAAATAAAATTATTAAATTAGTGTAGGCTACACGGACAATAAATCGACTATAAAAAGTTATTTTTGACGGCTTGACTGACACAAAAAATTTGTGTCAACTTGATTAAAGTCAACTAAAAAATCAACGAATGATTAACGATAAATATAATTTTATGTCGGTTTTTATTACTTAGAGTCGACTTTTGACCGACTCTAAAATCAAACATTCGTGTAGTGAAATTTTGAATCAGATGTTGAATAAATTCAAAGTTTTTACACTATAAGAAATATATATATATATATATATATATAAACTAAAAAT